TATACCTTATGTATAGGAAATAATACGTTATGACACAAAAATGGAATTAATACGTTATGAAAAAAAAGGAGTATGGAAATACAACGTTTTGACCTAAACTACACTTTTTGAATTGCATTTTTCTTTAATAGAAATGAAGTTAGCAACGAATTAATGACAGAAATGAACTTCCCGCCATATTTTCAATTAGAATCAATGTATAACTCAATTTTGATAAAAATGGCAATACCACGTTATGACTTGTCGCCCGTCAATTGAAGTAGTGTTGTTTGTACACCCCTTTCCATCAAGCCGTCCAGTTTTGTAAATTTATTAACCGTATAACTTATTGTATCATATAATACGGATTGTAAATAAAAAAAAAAATGTCTCATCTATAAATATTAAAAACTTTATGAGTTCTTAATGATTGCGATATAAATATGCAATAACTTTGTCTCATTATTTTTTTATTTATCTAACTAATTTCAATCTATAGACAAAAACGTATGTATCGTTTATATTTTATACAATATATCGTATGGACGTATACGAAAAAATGGACAGAACACGATTGAGAACATTCTTACCTCCTAACTTTTATGCAACGTTGCCACATTAATTAAAAATAAAACTAATAAAAATACAATATACAATATATATAAAATGTCAATCACTACATTTTGGTTACAAAATAAACTTACATTTAATTTTGTTTTAAATTTTCAATCCTTAGCTATTAAAGTTAAACATTTGATAAATTATCAACAAAAAAATCATATTTAAATTTTAAATTTGAAAAAAAAACTCACACATATCATTGTAAAATCAATACATTCCTCACTTATTTTAAGGCATTTTTTAAGATTAAAAGTAAAAAAAAATTATATTTATATACAACATATTTGTCAGCTTAAGATTAAAAATTAAAAAAATTAATATTTATTTACAATATATTTATATATATTATTTGTTAGCTTAAGATTAAAAATTTAAAAAATCAATATTTATTTGCCAGTATATACACAATTTAAATTGTTTTTCCCAAGTACTTATTTCCGGTTAATTTTAAATACCTTATTATGTCCTTATTTTGTTCAAACTCTTTATATAAATTAATTGTTGAAACAATACGATTATAATCTTAGATAGCCATGGTTTTTGTAATATTATTTTCAATGGAGTTGATTATCGCCACGGTTTGTGTTTGGGTCTCCTTTAAAACAGAAACTACTGCATGTGTAGGAGGATGTGTGCTGTAATATTATCCGTTATAAGTTCTGTGGAAACTTTCTGCTCCATTGTTGGTTCTTAAAAATAAAATAATAAATAATAATTACTTTAGGCATGCAGACCAAATAAAAGCAGATAAATATACCATAATAAATTTGGCAAACCAAAAACTAATTTAAGCCATTGATCTAATTCGTCATTGTTGTCTTTATGGCTGTATGACATAAGCGCCAAAGGTACAAAAATGACCTATCATTTGCGCCAAAATTAATATTTTATATAATAATAATAATAATAATAATAATAATAATAATAATAATATTGTTTATTACGGAATAAATTCCAATTACATTTTAAATAAATATATAAAAAATTAATATTTTATATAAGTATTAAGTAGGTAGTTATTTAAAAATTTCTATATCTTATAAAAATTATATTATATTAATATTATTATGTTGATAGTAAATTATAATATAGGTAGCTACATGCACATCAATATTTAATACATTTAATAAATTGGTTGATTTTTTAATCTCACTTTTCAATCATTTATTTATTTTTCTAATCAATAGTTCTAAATTTAATATCTATTATTTAATTTCTAGCGCTTTTGTACGATACGACTTTTTTTTTCTTATCTTATTTTGGCACTTATGTCATCAACCGGTCTTTATATGCACTTCTCAACTCTGATTCTCCGTTTATCTATCATACAGATAATATAAAATATATATGTTATTAATTAGAGTGAAAATCCAAAATATTATCGTATTTCTTACCTTTCTGCACCAATCTTGGGCTATATGAAAACGGCAAGTTTCGATAATGGCATTGAGAAAAATTTCTTTGACTGCTTCGTGAGCATCAATTTCGAAGTCGAGATGCAGCTTTTTAACGTTTAGAGCTGGACATATTTGCAAAAGATACTTCCACATTTTAATGTAAATTTGTTTTGTTTTGTTTGGTAAAAAAAAATAAACAATAGGCACGTAAAAACCATTCTCGTATGTGTGTAATGTATATAGTTGTAAGAAAAATTTTGGTGCAAAATCGTATGTACCGTCTCCATAAAATTCAGTTTGTTTCGACGTAAAATTTAAATTTTGGCTAGTTGTTATACAAACGAAGTTATTTGTTTCAGGAACAATAGCAAATTGTTCACTTTTAAACATACATAAATCATTATTTTGCATATTTTTTAATTGGGATATAGCTTCATTTAAAGAAGTAGGATTAATTGGATACTGTTTTCTTTTTTTATCATAAATCGCCTTTCGCACTGACGTAATATCATTGTTCATGAATCATGATATTTGGTAAGTCACTGTTTAATAAATCTGTTCTAATAACTTTTAACAGTCTTGTCGATGTATTTTCATCAGCTTTTCGATTACAATTTTCCCTCAAAATCTGTCTTTCAATTTTTTCGCTGTTATTACTTGCATGATTTACATGTTCACCATTTGACGAATTGAAAGTATTGTCTATTTTTGTTAATAAACTGGCACTACAGCTGTTATTGGAACATTTCCATTTCATTAATCCATCTTTGCGTGTTCTTACATATGAATATTTATCATTATTTAATAATACAAGATCTTTTCCGCGTTCAGACGTTATAATTTTAAAGTTTTCCATTATACACCACTATATTATACACTATTACACTATATTACGTTGTTGCCGCACTGTCAACCAAACAACTGAATTTGGCAATATTAATAATTTAGTATTGTTACTTGTTTAGTTCTGGACGTACTAATTGGTTACTAATTCAGTATATGAGGCCTAGCTGCAGTTGTTATCGACGATAACTTGTACCTACATATATATATATATATATGTTACGGGTAATGTTAACATTCGGATAATGTCGACATTAGCCATCCGTGTTGGCTAATGTGTAATTTTATCTTTTATAAACTTGAAATATCAACATTATCCAGATAATGTTAACCTTAGCCAGTCAATTTTGGATAATGTTAAAAGTTATGTACTAAATAGGCTATACTTATAGAGGTTTTTTAGAATTCTATGGTGGTGAGCAACTTTTTTGGTGTCAAGGACCAAAAAATAAAAAATAAAATTCACGGGCCTATATATCACACTTCATTATATTATTACAATCTAAATTTTAAAAAATATATCAAATTTAATTTATTTAAGTTTCATTACTGCTTGATATAATTTAACGTGGTATATATTAACACAGTTTTAATAATAACACATAATAATAATAAAAAAAATTAAAAATATGAAAATACTAATAAATTAATATGCTTTTTAAATTTAGATAAATTGTAATCGCAGGCTTAAAATCGCAACACAGGCCGCGGGTTGCTGACCCCAGCTAATAATATCTTATCTTAACTTATAACTGAGTTAGTCAGTTATATATCTTACCGATAAAATAAACAATATATATGAACTTAATAATTATCTTAGTCGCGCTTCGATCTGTTGTTAGTCTGTTTCAGTTTTCACGTGTGACAGTTTCCAGTACAGTGTTAAGTGTTTTAAATTTAATTTTTAATAAAATGGAAACAAAAATGGAATTTTATAATTTATTTGAGAAATTATTGTCTGAAAAAAGAGAAGATAATTCATCTTATTTATCAGATAAAAAATATTTAAGTACAATTAATGAATTGAAAGGCAACCATAAATCTCGTCGTTTAAATAAAAAATTTTAAAATATAAAATAAAATTTAATATTGTATTATTAGTATAAACTCATTTAAATTATACTCGTATTATGTATTTTATGGTAATTAGTAATTATTGTATCTTTTTTTTTGCATATGGTTAATTGTATCTAAAATATATTTAATATTGCTAATAATTTTAAATGATTTCATATCATATGCATGATGCAATTTTATAGTTGTTAAGACATTATCCATAAGTCCTTGGCTAATGTCATATTAACCGGTATGCCGAAAGCAGTTAGCAATCCCCGTCGATGTTACATTACACCAAGCTTTATCCAGCATTATTATGGCATCCAAAACAGTTGTTTTTGATTCTACATGATTCTCAATATCCTCAATCATTTTCAGTACTAACTGATTCCGGTAATGAGCTTTAATGTTCCTAATAACGCCCTGGTCCATTGGTTGAAGTACAGCAGTGGTGTTGGTGGGCAAAAATATGAGTTTAATAAATTTCAAATTCAATGATGGGTGTGCTGGACAGTTGTCCACCAACAGAAGAATTTTTTTTTCTTACGGCGTAACTCATCATCCCAATAATTAAGAGTTTTTTCAAAAATTGCTGAGGTCATCCATGCTTTGGTGTTATTTTCATAAAATACTGGAAGTGATGAAACTCCTTTAAAACACCGAGGGTTTTTCGACTTTCCAATAACAAGGAGTTTTCTTTTATCAGTTCCGGTCATGTTGGCTGCCACTAAAACTGTTATTCTGTCTTTCGATAATTTTCCACCCGAGCATTTTTCCCCCTTGAAGCGAAGAGTCTTAACGGGAGTTAATTTGAAAAAAAGGCCTGCTTCATCGGCATTATAAATTTCATCATCACAGTAACCTGCTCGAAGGGATGGCCAAACGGTAGCCAGCTAATTAGAGCAGATATCAGTATTAATTGCAGATGACTCACCTGAGATCTTGCTGAAACCAATGTTGTGCCGCTGTCGGAAACGCTGAATCCAAGATGCAGAGCATTTGAAATTTTCTATTTTCATTTTTTCAGCCAGTTGGTCAGTTTTTGCTTGCAAGATAGGACCACTTATAGGCACATTCAATAACCGTTGTTGTTTGAACCATACTAGTACAGCTTCTTCAAGGTCCTTATGCTGTGCAGTACGCAGTCGTTTTGCTTTCAGTGACGTGGTTTGAAACATATTTTTCAACGGATCCCGATTCTTCCATATGGTTGAAATTGTCGACAAAGAGGTGCCAAATTCTTTTGCGATCACGCTGTTTTTCTCGCCATTTTCTAACCGCCCAATTATTCCGATTTTTTCGTCCAACGTAAACTGACGACGCGACATGATGGAAAGTCTTCACACAACTGACGCTATTTGTAATTTTTATTAACTTGAAAACACCAGAATTTGTAGGAATAATGTTTATTATTAATAAGTAATCCATATCTACACAACTAAAGATAATATATGTCAATGATTAATCGACCTAAATAATAGCCAAAAGTTGTTATCTTGCAGGTACCTGTTCGTAGTAACCGGAAGGTCGTTAGTCAAGTTCGTTTTATTTTACTCGTTATAGCCGATATCTCGTAATAACCATACTCGTTGTAACATACAATCATATGGCCTTGTGCCGGGACCTAACGTTTTGCTTGTTGTAAGCAGTATTTCGTTCTAAGCGATGCTCGTTATAGTGATTTCTACTGTATATTATTAGTATAAACTCATTTAAATTATACTCGTATTATGTATTTTATGGTAATTAGAAATTATTGTATCTTTTTTTCTGCATATTATGGTTAATTGTATCTAAAATATATTTAATATTGCTAATAATTTTAAATGATTTCATATCATGCATGATGCAATTTTATAGTTGTTAAGACATTATCCATAAGTCCTTGGCTAATGTCATATTAACCGGTTAATGTTAACATTAGCCAGCATTTAATAATGTTCATGGCGGGTAATGATAACAATTGGCTAATGTTGACATTATCCAAATGTTAACATTACCCGTGACATATACAATAAACATTGTTGTATTTAGCTCTATACACATACAAGATTTTTCTAATATACCTTATAGAATAGAATTATTAATACAATAAGTATAACTCATCTTAATTTGTATTGTAATTTTTAATTTTAATAATGAATTAATAATTATATAATATGTATTAATTATTCATATTTTGTTTTGTTTTGTTTATGGCTATAACATAAACATAGTGCCCTATATGTTATAATTAATGACCTGATTTATATGCAAATGCATATATGTTTTGGAATGAGTTTTTTGAAATCTGATGAAAATTGTCCCCGATTTAGATCATTTTTATTAAAAAAAAAACACTAATTGTATTTTTCATATTTTGACGTTTTTACCTATTAGATTTAATGCATATTATTATTTATAGCACATATATTTGTGTTTATAACTTATAATGTTTGTATTTTTGTACATTATTATCAGTCCAAGTTATGAGGTTATGTTGTCACCTGTAATTTATAATTTGTTCTTTATGTATTCAATTGTTAAATTCTCATGGTTAATAGTTACTTATTACACTATATTATATTATATTATATAAAACTTTTGGTCATAATATAACTTTTAATTTAGTTATTCTTTCAGTTAATTGTATTTATTTTATTTTCATTGTTATAAGCTGTGACGCGAATCCTTACAGCAGACCTGCGTGGAGTGGCGCGGTCGTAGAGTGGTCCGGAATCTTCTGCTGTCTGGAACTGGGCTTGATTTTTCAGAAGTTGTTGAGAGGTCGAAGAATTGCAATGGACTGACCAACTCTTGAAAATGCACCGGTATATATACCCTCTGGGCTATCTATATCGGGGCCGATTAGATGGAGTTTCATTATGACGGATAAAAACTGTTGCCTGGTTGTTTCTCTTTAGTCGGTGTGTTTTTCAACCGTCATACTGTTGAAACACAATTGTTTAAAATACACTCATGTAGGTGTGTTCCCTATGTTGTATGTGTTTTACTTTCTCGTTATACTGGTCGGATTGTTGGTCTCGAGAAAGACCTATTAGTGTTTTATTCCGTAACAGTCCGGACCATTAATACTAACAACTTTATTAATAGCAATAAGTCTGAACCGTAACTATAAATGTGTAAAATCACATCCACACAGTCTCAAAATTTAAAACATAACGGTTTTTTTTGTATAAGTTTGTAATAAGTATTTTGAATGGTTTGCAGAATTATTTTTAATTTTGACAACCAATTATACCAAACAGATCAAAAATGTTCTACTAAAAATCACCCTAATTGAGGTAAAAAGAAACAATTTTACTAATTCTAAACACGAAATCAATGAAACATATTATTGTTACTGATTACTTCTTCACTTCTATCATATCTAAAACTTCCAAAAGATACGTTCTTCACGAAATTCAATATAATAATACAGTGTAGGCAGGAAACTGTGATATTATATAAAAATAAATATATAGTACATACCATGGTTATCTGTAAACGATTATATTTAATTAATTTATAGCCAAATGTAAATAATATTTTCAATTAATTATATATTATATATAAATATATTATGATTAAAGAGCACATTTTTGATTTTGAGAAAAAAATGTCTTTCGCATTATTGTTATAAAATGTGCTTCTAAACTTAAACAATTAATATGGACACATAGATCAGTAACTGTGGGAAAAATACAAACATAATACTTCACTCGTTTGAATCTAACACATAAATTAATATAATCTACACAGATTTTTCTAAATCATTTTTATCCTAGTAAGAACCTTAGTTGATTATTTAATTCTTTTTGAAAAATTACAGTCATTTGATTCCTATTGATCCCTCCATAATTGGTTTCAATCTTTTCTTTCAGACCATTTATAAATTGTTTAAAACCTGAATAATTCCCAGTACCTTCTGGCGTTCCTTGGTGACCACCTATTTACATACTCATCTTCAATATTTTTATTAATATCCTTATATTTGATGATGATGTTAAATTAATAAAAATAATTAAAATTGAACAAAATACAATTAAATAACAATCTGACATTAATAACATTCTTTCAAGATCTAGTAGAAATCACTTATTTCTGAACGTAAACAAATGTCAATTTATGAGCTTTTATCTAATAAAAATCCAACTAACTATCATTATTCTATTTTTGATTCAAATATGGAACGTGTATCTCAGTTTAGAATTTAGGCACTATTTTTGACTCTAAACTAAATTTTTGCCCTCACACAGAAATGGTCAAAAATAATGCTACCTATGCGTAATGTGTGTTATATTATAAGCATTTGTGGCTCATTCATGGTTTCCATTCCCTTGAAAATTCTATTTTTCTCTCTTGTTCGTTCCCATGCTTCAAATTTATTGATAAAAAACACTATGCTATTACGGAGTACTACGAAATATTAATAGGTAATACGAATAATATTCTATTTATAATTTATATTTTATATTATTAATACATTTATTGATTCAAAATAACAAACACATAAATTGTAATTTTGTACTCTCCTATGCTGCTGTGTATGACTGTATTGTTATAGTTAGAAGTATTTTTGTATATTATTATTTATTAATGATATTGCAATTGTTTCGTATTTCGCATCCGTCCCGAAGTCATCAATCGCGTACCTATGTCATTCTCATCAGTCTCCGATTCGTGCTTATGCCGTGTAAATGTTAATTTTATACCCATTGTAATATAGCGTGATGTTATTGCAATATACAATTAAATATTAATATAATCGAATAATAATCTCAACCATAATATGACAACATAATATTATGTTGATTGTTGAATGCAAAAGTAGGCACGAGGCACCTAAAACTAGGTACGAAATATTCGAGTTAACACCATGAAATTAGTTCTGCTGATCGTAAATTTGCTTTATCGTGTATTGTATACTAATTATACAAACCAGTCATATTTTAGGGCTTTAGACTCGGCTCTTAATAGTTAATAGATGATAAATATCGGGTCTACAGTTATTAGACACATGAAAATAAAATGGAAATTTTCAAAAACAGTTCCAAAAACCAAAACCAAAAATTTTCAAAAACCGTTCTTACAACCAAACAATTTGAAAAACCGATCTTAAAACCTAAACTAAAACCAGAAATTGTAGAAACCCGATCTCAAGAACTGAAACTGAACCGTTAAAATTGGAAACGGTTTCGATCTCTGATTATAATACTAAATTTAAAAAACCGCACTAAAAATTAACTATTCAAAGGTAAACGATTCACCATAAAAAATTTTTTTGAGAAGTACATTCTTACAGTAATATTTAATTCAAAATAACGAATCAATCGTCTTTATCTAAATAATAATAGTCTTTGAAACCACTAATATTTAATCATATGTTTGAAGTGTTAAATGTTATTGCACATTTTAAATTTTAATCATCTAAACTGTGTTTCAAATTAATAAGAATCTAAACCAATTACAAACACTGTGGGTTATAAATATTTTTTTGTTTTCCATGTGGTCATTGCAGTAGAGAGGAAGTAAAAACAACAAACATAAACTATATACTTACGAATATCCTCTAAAAAAATATAATATATAATATACCGTAGTTATTAATAATATAGTTACATATGTTACAGTTATAGTGTTGAATCAGTTAATTTATGAAACAAATTATACTTGTAGATAATGTATGTATATTAAAATTTATACTTTGACTAGTTATTGCATACATTCCTATGTCCAACTTCGTAAATGTGTTGTACAAAATAAGTATAATATCGCTATTATACCGTACATCATAATAATAAATCAGATAAGACTAATAAAGTACCTTGTTTACCTTATTTTCTATTTAAATATAGAAACATTAAAAGTAAGTTACAGGAATTTTAATTTTAATTTTTAATTTGTCATTTTCGGGAAAGTATTTCCAAAGAAACACTTTGAAAACAAAATGTACTCTATTTTGTCTGATATTCATTATCTAGGTATACATCTAATGGACAATAAAAATAATGTTAAATACTATAGTCTATAATTTAATTTTGGAATCTCGCACAGAACAAAATATTACATTTTAATAGAATTAAAACAAAACAAAAATGTACGTACCTAACCAAGATATTAAAAAATCTAGATAAAAAAAAAAATTAAGTGTGGCTTAGTTTAGATTAATTTTGATAAAAATTATTTATAAATTTATATATGTATTTTACTGACTGAGCCCTATTTGCATGAACATACAGTTAAATTGTAAGAACAGTAGATACAATAGTAAATAAAAAGTAACAGAGGTAATAGAAATATTAGAAAGAAAGTAAGAAAATAAAAATATAAAACAACATAAAAACCAATTAAAAGAATTTAAAATGAGGATTCATATTGGAATTTGACATTAATGGAATTAGTGGCTTGTTCTCTAAGTAATTAGCGGTAGCATGCGGTACAAAATAGTGAATCAGATGAATGCCCAGGTACTTTAAAACAAATTAAAGAGACTAGGGAAGGAGAATCAACTTTGTCATTCAATAACCCTTTAAGGAACCTAAGGCCCACATTGTGTCCACGTTCAGCTTAAGAAGATAGGCCAAGAGGAGTGGCCGCCGAAGTATAATAATGTGGTGGACATTGGATTTTTAACATTTAGC